TGACCAGTGATTAAGGTCCTCCACTTTTAAGGCATTGTAGGGCTCATACTACTTGAGAAAATTATAATAAGATAATTTTTTTTGGCAAAAAACATATACAAAAAATCTCACCAGAATAATATGACCGTTATATATTTGAAATGATACATATTCTGATAGATCTTTTTAAATGAATTGTATGTATATGAAATTAATTGTTTTTTATATATAAAATTATATACTATCACAATAACCATTAGAACTTACCATTTGTGATATAAGATAACCTTATACACCTTTTGATAAGGAGTGGAGAATGTCAACTTCGGTGAATACAACACATGCAAATGCAATCATTCGGGTCCTCGCATACACACTTTTTATTTATATTATATATATATATATATATATATATTATAGATTCGTTTTTTCTTATCTAAAGTTTTCTGCAAAATTTATGGTTCTCTCTCTAGAAAAAGACTGGATTTCTCAATGGGGCCATTTGTATACTTCCAACTTTATTCAGCTTTGTTGCTTTTTCAATTGCAAAAAAAGAAAAAAGAAAAAGAAAAACGTAATGTTATAAAAATAAACTTTAACCAAAATAAAGCATCTTAACTTATTTATATGCACATGGATTTATAATCACAAAATGAAGCTGCTAATTTATTCTATATGACTTTTTATATATATACACAAATATTTTATTGCTTAAACTACGTTTAGTTGAGAGATTTTAGAAGAAATTTAGAAAGGAAAAGGAAAAATGTGTGTAAAACTAGATGAAATGTAGATATATTTTTTTTCACATTTTACCTACCTTTTCCCTTTTCAAATCTCCTAACCAAACACAACCTTAGCATTTTCACTTGAACAAAGTTTAATTCACTGTTTCAGCAATACTCAAACAATAAGAACTCATCTTTAATTCCTCAAAACTATTCTTTTAACACCCATGTTGTATCTAAAAAATCTCTGATTTATTCTCTAAAATCTGTTATCATAATCTGCAAGAAGAGTATTGTGTGATTATGATAGTGGAAGTGGGCATCTAAATCTTGTTGGCATATATTGTGTGCTGTTGTTTTCTTCTTTAATATCCATCGCTTGCTTCCACTGTTCCAAATTATTTATTTATTTATTATTTTTTTAACCGGTGTCCGGATCAATTTGTATGAACGGATAAATCTCTAAAGTCTCTTGAGTGACTTGAATTTGAAATCTTGAATCTTATCCTCAAGTTTTTAAGGGCTAGATTTTTATGGGCTTATCCAAAAGAGTTGGACGGTCAGTTCACCTTTGTGGATCCATTGTGGATTCTATTTTGATAATATAATTTGTTGATCATTTAGAATTTTGTGTATTGAATTGATGGTTCATTTACAAATAAATTGACTAGATAATTATAATTATATAGTTTTATTTTTTAGGTTTTCAAAGAATGGATATAAATAATGATTTAAAAAATGCTCCCTCTGTTTCAAAATGTTGATTCCTTTTGGAAAATCTAAAATTGTGTTTGGCAGAGCTTTCTAAATATGATTTGAGAGTAAGAGTTGTATTTTGAGTTTGTGAGTTTTGAAATTATGATTTGAGTGTGAAAAATTTGTTTGGTGAAAGAGTTTTGAGAAGAGTTTTAAAAAGAGTTTTGAATGAGTGGAGAATTTTTGATGTGACATATGATATTTGATACAAAAATTTACAACTTATAACCAAGCACACAACTTAAAATTCTATTAAAGCTCATAAAAAAATTTAAAAAATTTGAAAAATATTTTTTTCAAATATATAAAAATTAACACGTGTCAATTGCAAAAAAAAAAAAAAAAAAAAAAAAAAAAAATATTTGCACTGTTCCAGTCAACCGGTGGGACGACCAGTTAGCCCAATTTTTTTCCCATTCGACCGAGTTTTCAAAATTGAACGTGGAATTAACTTTTGAAAATTGTAAACAAACGACATGTGCAAAATAAGCTCTGGAACTAATGTTCTAGAGCTGTACCAAACACAACTTAACTTTCTTTGAGAGTACAATTATTACATTTCAAAAATATTAAATTTCCAAAACTACCCGTTGATTTAAAATTAAAATAGTGCAATTTTTTTTGAGAATATCAATTATCATAATTATACCTTTTGTGTATATTAATACTAGCCTATCACCCGTGCTATGCACGGGATAATCATAGATTTTTATATTTATTTTAGATTTTTTTAATATATAAATTATGTTTTTAAAGATTTTTTATAAAAATAATTTAACAATCTTATCACTAACCATAGTGCATATTGCAGTAACTATACACAGATTGTGTCTATAATTATTTGTATGAGGGGATTTTAAATGCTGATCAGGGGATTTTGACCAAATCAATAAATGCAGGCATGTGGAAAGACATGCGGATTGAAAAAAGTTAATAAATGCTGAGTTTTTTTTTTTACTAAAAAATTCAGATTGGAATATTGAAGTTTCCACAGGGCTTGGGGTTAAAAACCCCATTCTGCTTAATATATAGTATAGATATATATATATATATATAGAGAGAGAGAGAGAGAGAGAGAGATTATAAGATGAGAGAAATAATGTGCTATCTTATTATAATGGAGGAGATCATATAAAAAAAAAACGTGTAAACATGAATGCCCTCATATTTTATTGTGTTTACAATTATCTATATATGTGAATTGTGATTTTTAAATGTCTTCTTTTTTTTCTTTTTTATATTATATTAAAGTTTAATATTTTGATAATAATCATATGTGTTGGACTTTTCAAGGAATTAAATATCTTTTTTATTATTATTATATTATATTAAAGTTTAATATTTTGATAATAATCATATGTGTTAGACTTTTCAAAATTTTTTTTTATACTTGTTCTTAATGCATTAAAGTATTATTATGAGGGATAATAATCATATGTGTTGGGACTTTTTAAGGAATTCATGTGTTGCATTTATGCTTCTTCTTAATGCATTAAAGTATTATTATGAGGGTAAGACTTGGGAGTTGGGAGAAGTTAATAAATGCTAAGATTTTTTTTTTAAATAAAAAAATCAAGAAATTTAGATTGAGAGATTGGAGCACCCACAAGGCTTGGGGTTAAAAATTCCCTTTTGCTTAATATATAGTATATAGATTAATGAATTTAAAGGAAGGGTAAATTAGGAAATTCATGTTGTTTTAGTACTTGATTTTTGAAGAGAGATTAATATTTTGAGATAATAAAAAATAGAATAAGAAATTAATATTTTGGGACGAAAGAAATATTTGAAAATAAATTTAATGAAATTATGTAAATATAATTATTGAATTAAGCTAATATTATTATTATTTTTTATGAAAATACTAGGGTTTTGATGATTAACAAATCACATCATTGAAGTGGGCCCTATAATAGACCCAAAAGACTGAACTGAATGGTCCAGTTTTCTATCAGCATTGGAGAAAATTTAATCTCTCTGACAGTAATTTTTTTGATAAGCAAAATAAGTCTTTATTGATGTAGTCAAAAGGTAGTAACCAAATAGAGAACAGTTCTGCTATTCACTCACACTTTTATTCTTTAGATCCCTCTACTATTTTTAGGAATGACAACGGGTGGGGTCGGGGATCACACTCCCCGTCCTCGATTCTCGATGGTGAAAATTCTCCCAATCCCGGCCCTGATCCCCAACGGGGAACCTATCACCGTCCTCGCCTCTTAACAGGGATCGGGTTTCCCCTACCTCGAATATTCCCTGACCAAAAAAAAGAAAAAAAAAAAGCAGCTCATCATCATCAACATCAACAACAACTAGAGTCTACAAAATTATCATCAATGATCATCATCATCAACATTAACAACAACAAAATGTATATATATATATATATATATAAGTATAGATATTACCTCGGATCAGAAGATGTGAGAGGCTAGTGTACATATATAGTGAAGATCTGGATATGTATATCAATGATGTTGATATAGGTGAGAACCAGTGTATATATATAGTTGAGAACCAGTGGTGCTAAGAAATGTTCATCGCGGCTCGGATTTAGAAGAAACTCTCCGTTGTCGATCTGTCTCTAGACTTCTTCTTCATCGTGGCTCAGATCTAGTGGAAGGTGCTCATTCATCTCTCGCACAGAGAGTAAAGAGAGAAGAACGAGAGAGAGAGAGAGAGAGAGTGTGTGTGTGTGTGTGTTGAGAAGAACCAGAGAGAGAGAATGAGAACTTAGAGATAGATATTAGATAATAATATAATAAAGCCTAAACATATATATATATATATATATATAGGGGACTGATTGGGGGCTATTTGGGGCCGGGGCTTGGGGCTGGGGCTGGGGCTGGGTACCTATCACCGTCCCTTGCTTGAAAATTATCAGGGATTTAATTTTTAATACCATTCCCGGCCCTATAAGGATAATTTTCGGGGAAAACCCGTTCTAATCGGGGTCGGGTCTCCGTCGGATCGGGTTCAAATTGCCATCTCTAACTATTTTGAACCCTCACTTAGTAAAATAAATCTTTTTAAACCCCCACTTTAATTTCAACTCTACCTCTTTTCTTTTGCACCTAACTTTTATTTTATTTTTCCTTTCGCCAACAGCTCTCGCCACCAATAATCCCACTTGTCGACATTTGAAACCCTTTCCATCCCCTTTACCCACTGGCTTCACCATCTTGCCGTTACAACCCACATCCAATCTTCTTCCTCCTACGAAACCCATAGCCAGCACTATCGTCGTGAGCCCTCTTCTCCCTCTCGTGATCTTGATCTTGATCTTGATTTTACCACCATTGTCGATCGTCGTGCCATCGCTGTTTAGCTGCCACAGCCACAACACTCTTCTCTTTAGATTCCACTTCGCAGCTGCAAACCCTAGATTTACAGCTGCCACTGTTCCTCAATCGAAATAAGAAGATGAAGAGGAAGAGGAACTACAGGGGGTGGAAAATGTAAAGGAGAGAGTGGTAGAGGAGAGTCGGAAAGGAGCAGCGGTAAGGGATGGTCGGAGATGGGTTACGGGGGCGACATAGGGTTAAGAGATGGGCTGCGATGGTGGAGAATACCAGAGGTGATTAGGGTTATGGTTTGAAAAATAAGGGTTAGAAGATTAGGAATGATGGTAAAAGTGGAATTTTAGGTTGGGACAAAGTTGGGATTAAAAATAATGGAGGAGGTTGGGGTTCTTAGAAGAATGGTAGGGATTAATAACAATGTTTTAGAGAACATATGAAACAGAGTGCATAATACATTATAACGAACCTTTTTCATCTCAACTAAGTTGGCATGAAAAGGCAAATCCAATAGCATGCAAACACTAACCAATTGCAAAAGACTTGGAGAGGCAATATTTAACCTAGACAATTGTTGGAGTTTGACAGACCCAAGAGGGTAAAAACTCCCAACATAGTTGAACGTTTAGATTATTAAGCATTTCCAGGATCAGTATATACAATAATGTTCTTCAAATTATATATATAACCACTTTCAAAATCACAAATACAAGAAAAAGATTGCTAAGTTTGCATTAAAGATAATGTGCTTCTTAGGTACGTAGTTTACCTTTTGCTCATCTCTTAAAATTTCCATTTATGCAGATGGAAAATACATAAAATGGAGAAATATTATGTTCAAGACACCGTAGCTGTAAATAAACTATGACAATAATGATTTAGTACAACAAAAAGAAAATACACCTTAAAAACACAATTAGTACTTCTCATCAAACCTCTCCACATAAAAAAAGAGGCTCATGGTTAAGTAGGTGTATTCTCATTCGCTTCAAAAGCAAAAATGGCTACTAGTTTGGCATCCTATATAAATATAGCTTTAGCTTTTTTGAGCAATTGGACTAGCTTGCCCCGGATATGGAGGCTCATGACCTCATTAGAACCACCAACCAACTCCCCTCCTATGAACACAGCGGGTACGCTAGGTCGACATCCTAATGACAACAACTCTCTTTCCAGTTGTCCTCCATTAGGAAGTTCATCAAGCTCATAAACAGCAAGACTGGCCCCAAAACCGTATATCAGTATTTTGATGGTGTGGCAAAAGCAGCAACCGCTTTTGCTGAAGATCACAACTGGCTTTTCAGCTCCCAAAGCCGACACGGTAGCCATTGTTGGGAAGGTGTTGGATGAGAGATGGTTGAAGAATGCTTTTAGTGAAGAGAGAGTTGAGATTTGGCGGTGAAGAACTTGAGGTATGATGAGAAGCTATATATAGAGAGAGGACTAAGGTGGTGGGAAAAATATATTCTAAAAGATAGATAGTTCATTATTAACATTTCCAAAACAGTAAAGCATTTATCATTGTTTGAGAGTGACCTCATATATGTCTATGTAATATCTATGTACATGGAATAGCAAGTTGAACATAAGAAGATCCTTAATATATATGATAAACGTGATCATCATGCAATGGTTTTACATTCTCAAATGGCACCATTTAACACTGATGTAGCATATATATATATGTATATATATATAATACATCCTAATTTGGTATCTAGAATGTCAGCTTGCGTCCTCTGTCTTAAATTTATTTATTTTTTCTATTTCAAAATCGGTAGTGCTATATATACTGATTGATATACTAATTAGTGTATTAACATAGTTATGACAATGTCATTTTAAAATTATAATTTCACTCATTATACAAATTACAAAGGTTCAAAATTTCTAAAATTATGTCACATCATTCGTTAGTATATTAATTGATATATCAATTGATATATATAGCATTATTCATTTCTAAATACTTGTATATATCTTGAAATTTTTATATATCGAGACTCTCATATAATTTAATATTTACAAGTGGTTTGATACAAAAAGAACAAAGAGATTTGAGAATATATGATCAATAACTCAAAATAGCAACAATTAATGAAATGATCATTCAGATATATAGATCGAGATATTCAACCGACTTAAGTACCAATCAGATTTTTTTTTTGATTCAAAAAGTACCAATCAGATTTAAGCTAATGGTAAAGATGGCAGAAATTGGTTTTTGGATTTGGACAAATATAAAGATGGTAGATTTTTTTTTTTATTTAAACAATTCAATTACTCTAAACTATTTATAATGGGGTTAATTTTTTAAAGATATTAGCGGGTCAATTTTACCTATATAAATAAATATATAATTTTTATTTAAGGTCTTTTCACTTTGAGAGTTTATATATAATTGTGGTTTTTTATTTTATTATAATAAAAAATTTAATTGTTATAGCATTATGATTAACATACATGTACAGAGAATTTGTATTAAAATTAACATCTAAAATATTTAACGTATAGTCCAGATTCATTTAAGATATGTGTTTCACTACATGAGAGTTTAATCTCAATTATACATTACCTTTATGAATATATTTTTGTGCATAGATTCTACACATATTTTTTTATTTTTGTCTTTTTAACGGGCTAATATAATTTTTTTTTTTTCAGAATTGTTTACATTAAAAAAAGGTTTAAGCTACATTCCCATTTGGGCAATGTTTATTAGTTTACGGTGGTGCTACATGCACCAATTAGTGTACTAGCTAGTGTACCAACATTAATTGCTGTGACATTATTACTGACCCACTCATTATACAAATTACAAATACCAAAAATCTCTTAAATTATGCTATACATCAATTGGTACATTAGTTAATACACTAATTGGTCTATATAACATTATTCATTAGCTTAACATCTTCTTCAAAAGCAGTAAATAAACTTAATTAATTACCCAATATTTAAGAGGGCACTGGTTTCCTCCTAGTCCCAGATTGGATTGGAGGGTGCTGTTGGGCTTGTGGAGGCCCATCATGGATCCCGTTTCGATAATCTGAACCGTTCAATGTGTAAAATTTGTCGAGTACTATAGGTTTATAAAAAATCACGTTGATCGGATTTTGATAACTATATGATCAAATTAGTTTAGTATAAAAAAATACACAGTGAAAAAATAAATAGTTGGCAGAAAATTAATCCGATGAGATAACTATCGATATCCGATCAACGTGATTTTTTACAAGTATATAGTACTCGACGAGTTCTATACATTAAACGGTTTGAATTATCGAAACGGGATCTGTGATGAACCACCACAAATTCAACAGCACCCTTTAGTTCAATCTGACACTGGAGGAAAGCCAGGCGTTTAAGAGAATAATTCCGACCGACACCTAACCCTTTACTATTATACAGCATAACCGACCAGTTGATGCCTAATAAGGCCTTTCCACAAAGAATATTCACATGATATGATAAGATAATCAATTATAACGAAAAGGCAATAGAATTGCACACATTGTTTAATTCACTAATTTGTGATTTTATGCAATTGAATATGTTAGGGGAATTTCTTCCCAATTAGTGCAATGTCAAGAAATGGATAATTTGGTAGGCCCCATGGTACGAATGATTATATGTACTTTTTTTTTATTTTTGTTTTTGTTTTTGTTTTTGTTTTTCCTTTTTGGAATTGAAAGTCGCCTCAGCGTCATAAATTCAAGGTAAATTATAAACACATCTTTTAAATTTGTTTAAAACATTAATTACTGTTTGTGATTTAAAAAATAATATCTCGTTCCTTGAAAATTTTAATTTTATAATAAATGACCTACTTTGTTAATAAATTATTAAGTCAATTAATAATTTGTAATGATATTTCAATTAATAATTTGACTAATTTTATTATTGTGTAGCAGGAGATTAGTTAGAAATTTTATTTTAATATTTAATTTTGTTAAATATTTTTTTTTATTTATAAAAAGAGATATTTGGGGAATTCATATTTTAAATAAACCTAAGAGAATGTATTTATAATTTATCTTAAATTAAAAATATGAAAAAAATATGCAAAGTATAGTCTACGTATATATGATTATTCATAGACTGCACATTAAGTAAAGAAAGGAAAAATCTTAGGTGTGCATCGCATATCATATGTAATCTTATACAAAATTACATAAATTTTTAAAATCTTACAAAAATACATAAGTTCAATACAAATTCACGTAATCATATAAGTTTTCATGAACTTATATGAATTTATGTTCAACATATGCGTTTCTGTATGATCATTTATGTAAATTTGTGAAAACGTATATAATTTTGTATAAAATTACATACAGTGTAAATTGCACACTGGAGCCTTTATCATTTTTTCTTCTACATGCAAATGATTTTTTTTTTTTTTAATTATTAGTGAGATTTTCAATTTTGGTTTCTAAAAGATCTTGGCTTCAAATGTGTACTTGTTGCTCCATTTTCTAAAAACAATGGAAAAGTCTACAATCACAGATTAAAAAGATCAAAAAATAACTAGATTTTCTTCCTTTCTTTCTTTTTTATTTATTTTTTATTTTTAATTTTTATCTATGGTTTGTGTTTAATCTGTTTTTTTGTTGGGCCACATCATAAGTAAATCCTAACTTTGATTTGGCTTTCTGGGCAAAATTTTGGTGTTGTGTTATGGGTTTGTAGACCCACTCAAACATAATTGCATGAGAATAAAGAGAATGAATATCTTTTGTATTGAATGAATCAAATTGTTACAGAGTGAAGATATATTTATACACTCAATGAAACCTAACCATAACTGCCTAACCTTGAATCTTATTACTTAACCAAACTGCAAGTAACCTTTAACAGTTAACCTCTAACAAACTAACAACTTATGTACAGCTGTAGATTATTACACACGTGTGACTTTGGCTACAGGTGCAACTGTTGGAGTTTGAGCCGTATTAGTTAGAGCTAGAGCTTGAGCTTGAGCTTTAGTTGAAGAGTCTGATAGCTGCTGCTGCTGTTGTGTGAGTTGTTGTTGTGTAAGCTATGGCTTATCATGTTGCTTATCATGCCCTATCCAGCTCAATGGACTGGGAAGGACATTGAGTTGGTGTTGAAGATATTGAAATCGAGCCACAGATAAGGGTTTAGTAAACACATCAGCAATCTGATCAGAAGTGGGGATATGACAGATATGAAGCTCCTTGGAGGCAACCCTTTCGCGAACAAAGTGATAATCGACCTCAATGTGTTTAGTACGGGCATGAAAAACAGGGTTGTTACTCATAACTATTGCAGATAAGTTGTCACACCATAAAGTAGGCACAGGAACAGAGATATGAAGCTCAGCAAGCAACATCCCAAGCCAACTGAGTTTGGCTGAAGTTTGAGCTAAAGCCCGATATTCAGCCTCAGAAGATGATGTAGACACAGTTGGTTGTTTCTTGGCAGACCGAGAGATGAGGTTAGGACCAAGATATACATAGTAACCAGTGGCGGACCTTCGATCAAGGACATTACCTGCCCAATCTGAGTCTGAATATGCATTGAGAAGAAGAGGTCCAGGAGAGAAATGAAGACCATGAGATAAGGTGCCTTTAAGATACTTTAGTAACCTTTTGACTGAGGTAAAATGACTAGTCAAGAGTAAGTGCATGAACTGACAAAGATGATTAACCATAAAGGCTAAATCTGGTCTGGTAAGAGTAAGATATTGAAGTGCTCCTACCAAACTTCTGTACAAAGCTGACTGAGAAAAGGAATAATCATTTGCTGTAGTAGGAGAACTAGAAGTGGACTTAGTAGCCATGGGAAAAGAGTAAGATTTGCAGTCACTGATACCAGTTTTGGCCAATAAATCTTAGGCATATTTTTGTTGAGAAAGGACATAACCAGAAGCAGTTTTGGTGACAGAGATACCCAAGAAATAATTGACAAAGCCAAGCTCTTTCATGGAAAAGGTTGTATGCGTGTGGGTAATGAGAGAGTTAATATAAAGAGGATCACTTCCTGTGAGAAGAATGTCATCTACATAGATGAGAAGAATGGTGATAGCAGTAGAAGTTTTCTTGATAAAAAGAGAAGAGTCACAATGGCTTTGAACAAATTCATGAGTGAGAAGAAAATTGGAGAAAGTAGAGAACCAAGCTCTGGGAGCTGGCTTTAAACCATAGAGGGCTTTGTGTAACTTGCAAACAAGCTGAGGTTGATTAGATTGAACAAAACTTTAAGGTTGAACCATGTAAACTTCTTCTTCAAGAACACCATGGAGAAAGGCATTAGATATGTCAAGCTGCCTGATTGGCCAATCAAAATGTAAAGCAAGACATAAAAGAATTTTGATAGTTGGTTGCTTAGCCACAGGACTAAAAGTCTCATGATAGTCCACCCCTTCAGTTTGAAGAAAGCCCTTGGCAACTAGCTGAGCCTTGTATCTAGCTATAGTACCATCTGAATTCTTCTTGATTTTATAAACCCATTTGCAGCCCATGGTTTGCTTGCCAGGTAAAAA